GGAACAAGGTGAACGATTCCAGACATTAAAGAGATGGAAAGGAGATACCAGGAAAAATGGAGCATTACAATGATGGCAGACTACTGTTGGATGCTTCAGAGAGACATTTCCAGATGCTACTCACAAGCGTAAATGCACCAAGAGGAGCCTCACAGGAAAGAAGAATCGAGTTTAGTTTGTGTAGGTGAGCTCATTTCAGTTCAAAAAAGGATTTTCATGAAAAAATTGTAAGTCTATTTCCATTTATTTTGAGGTATTGCCTTATTTAAAATAGTGACCTAAATTGTCAAGAAATGATGTCCTATGACAAAATGGAGGTCATTTTTGGATTCAGCGCACCATAAAAACTAAAGATTACGTGGAATAACCAAAACAGCTCTTGAAAAAAATTTTTTTGCAGACCTGTGCTATTAACACAAGGTGATTATATGATATTTTGCATTTGGGGGCTAATGCACTATATTGAATTTTCTTTTTTTGAGGTTTTCACGGATTAAAAGAAATGTTTCCATTAAATGTGCATTTTTTGGGAGCACGCATATCATTTTGTGGAATTATCACAGACGCCAAGAGACGGTTGTGTTGACTTTTTCAACTTTCAGGGGAGAAAGTGGAACTTTTTGCGTCTAGAGGATATATCATTATTTAGAGTGATTGTTTATTTTGGATTAACAGTAATTTTTTAGACTTAAAACTGACAACCAATAAACAGCCTAATTCCTGAAAAAGGAAGTAAATAAAACCCTCAGAAAAGCCAAAAATGATAAACATAGCCTCCCTGGCAGTATTCCCGAGTGTAGCTCGGGGTAGTTTCAGTACCACAAACGGTAACCCCGAGCTACACTCGGGCTTACCATGTGGCGCTGCTCCAGGATCTGTTCTTCACTTACCTTGTCCTGCGCTCCCAGGATGTCCCTCCTGCAGTGTCCCCGGCAATGTAATCATCTGTCATCTGGGTTCCGTCCCCTGCGAGCGTCGGGACGTACGGGAGACGGAATGGTGGGAAATTTGAAAATGATAAAAAGTGACATTCACTAAAATCACTAAAATCACATAGTAAAACATTACTGTATCAAACCATTTCACATTCATTTTGTCCCTAGTGTTTTGTCCTGTGCCCTGCCTGCATTTTTACTGTTCTTTCTGTCTGGAAACTGAGAAACGTCCATGGAAACGTCCCTTTATGTCAAAAGCGGTTTTAGACCATCTAGAGAACAGCGATAGTAAATTAGAACTACTTACAGAATTGAGTGATGATTCGTGGGGAAATTCATCATCAGACACTGAAAACGATTTTGAGACTTTGCTCAGTGATGTGCGAACTTGCGCTATATTTCAAATTTCAGTGTTTTTGGTTTGATTATATTATTGAATACATTTATTATTATTATATTTTTTTATTTTTTATGATTATTTATTAAATTATAATTTATGATTCGTGTTTCAAATTGTAACATACCTGGGATGTTTACTAGACTCTTGTTTAGACAGATTTCAGTGAGTTATTCCTAAAAATCACAGGCCTACAATAAAAAAAACATATTTCCATGCAAAAAAAGTACCGTTTTGAGCACAGAAATATGGACATAATCAGACCGCTAGGGAGGTTAACTGATCATCCTGTTAGGTACACATTTATCAAGGTCATCACGTTTCCCATGCTAAGTCGACTTTAAGAAGAAACTTCCTACCAGATAGCAGAAGGTATTCCCATATCTAATTCCATAATATGTCCCTAAAATATAAGGCTGCATGCACACTAGTTTAAAGAAAACGCTACTAGCAGCAACTTTTAAGTGTTGACTTTTTTTCTGCTTCTAGAAGCAAATAGTGTTACCCTATGTGTTCATGCACACTATTTTAGTCTAGAGGCATTTTTTAATCCTCAAAATTTAAGAGCAGAAAAAAAACTCTTTTGATTGCATTTTTGGGAGTGATTTGACAACAGAATAAACCCTGACTGCTCCTAAACCACTGCTAACCGCTGCTAACCGCTGCTAAGTGCTAGTTTCCAGCATTTTATTTTCTTTTTGGGTGGCTGCCGGCAACCTGGTTGTTAAAGAGGGGGCTGGCAACGGATGACTCATCAGCTATCAGCAGGGAACCTGAATGAAGGAGCTGATTGTACCCTTTGGGTCTGGTATGGCTTGTAAGGGGAACCCCATGCCAAAATTAAAAAAAAAGTGTGGGGTCCCCCCAAATCCATACTAGACTATTATCTGAGCATGCAGCCTGGCAGGCCAGTAAAGGGGGGAACGTGTCAGCAAACCATACCAGCTCACATGGAGGGGGTGCTTTTGGGTAGGTGGGTCCCCAAAAACACATTGTCTCCGTGTTGATGGGGAAAAAGGGCCTCTTCCCCACAACCTTGGGCAGTGGTTGTGGAGGTCTGCAGGCAGGGGGCTAATCAGAATCTGGAAGTCCTCTTTAACAAGGGACCCCAAGATCCCAGCCCCCCCTATGTGAATGAGTTTCACCAAAAAAGTGTCAAAAATAAAAACACAGAGACATTTTTTGACTAGTTCTTTATAATAAAAAGAAATGCCCCCCCCCCCCCCCCCCCCCCGAAGTAAATCCAGTGTCAAACATGATGAACGCCGCCCCTGCCAACCCAGAAAAAGAAAAAAATGCAATGAAATGACAGCAGGCTAAGCTGTTTCTTTACACAGAAGCCAGTTGTAAAGTACATCTAACACATGCGTACTACATTTGCATATCATCATTGCTCTTTGGCCCCTTTTACATTGGCACTGACAGGCGCCAAAAACAGGTGGGTGAGGCATGTTTTTACCTTGCAATGGCTTCCATGGTGTGGCAAAAATAGGGCATGTCATGTTTAGCAGGTGATACCCTATAGAAGTGATGGGGCTGCAACACAACCGCAATGCAACTGTATACAAAAGAACAGGCCTGCTAACCGTGGGCCAGCCACTGATGACTACACAATCTGTAACAGATGGCAAGTCAGCAGCTGGGCCCATTTGAAAGAAGCCTATCAGAATTAGTTTGCTTAATCAGTGTGGCAGAATTGTGTGTCACAAATATCAGTCTTCAAAAATAAAAATAAATATCGGTAAGATCTAGGAAACATGACTTTGTGCCTCATACATAGTTGCAGTCTTGGTAACAGCAGATATTTGAATGAAAGATCATGTTTCTGATGGAGAAAAAATAAAAAAAATAGCTTATTCTCCAATTATCCCAGTAGGACATTTTATCTATAAAATCAGAATAACAGAGCCTTGTAACAACAAAGCTGTGAAATATTAATACCAATTTGGAACAGAAGCATCACTTGTTTTCAGATTTATTTATTTATATAGTCCATAAATAAACTTCATATTATTCCCTTGGCTGATTTTTCCATCTATGTGATATTTTTGTTAAAGAGGTGCTAGAGTGAAAAATTCATTGAAAAAACACATTTTTAAAAATATAAAAATCTATAAAAATCTTGATATCACCTGTGTGGCATGTCCTCCATGTTAGACAAGTGTTATGCCATTTCTTGTTATTGTAAGTACTTCTCTTTTTTCTTCATACCTATGGCTCCAAAGTTAAAGCATGTCTATAGTCAAAATGTAAAATCATATATTCATTTTTATATCGTATTTCAGTTATTTCTAGCCTACTTATGTTTACTTGAATGATTTTGAAGTTTGTAAACTTTATGAAAATCCCTAAACAATTCCTTATTTGTATTCTGTGAACTGTATTCACTAAGCTCTGTGAGTTGGCACATTTCACAGAGCCCGTCTTCTGATATACAGAGATGCTGAGAGGAGGAGTTTTAGGAGGCAAAGTCAGTACAGGAATAACTATATATAAAGAAAATGCAGCGCTGTGTGATGTTACTATATTGCGGGCAGATATAAATAATAAATTAAACCAAAGCAAATGAATAAATGAATCAATAAATAAATAAATCACAGTCCAGTAATGGTGCTCGCTGATTCCCAGTGCAAAAGTTAGAAATGCGCACTAACCAGAAACGTTTTAATAATACGCATGTGTATATGATATCATGGAGATTCCCCTCTCTTTTCTGGTCTGGTAATGGGCAGGAGCTGAAGATAGTAGAGATGAAGCGCCCTCATGTGGCAAAATGGAGGTCCAGCAGGTCACAGAAATCCTTACAGAAGTGTGTGATGTGGAAAATTCCTCCTCTCAAAGGCTGGTGCAGGGATCAATCTGGGTCTGCAGAAGCTGAAAAGGATCATCGCAGAAGACACAGGAAAGAACCCATAGTGTAGTAGGTTGATTTCAAGAAAAACAGGAGTGTTCAGAAAAAACTCACAATGGTGCCAGGTTTAATCAAATGACTGACCCTTTAAGATTAAAGATGGCCGCCGGGCCTCCACGTGGCTCTGGCGGCGTAGTGTCAATGGCGTCCTGGGCTCCACTGACGCATTTCGTGCGCACGCACTTCTTCAGAGGTAGAGCTGAGGATCTACTGGAATAGCTGCTTGCAGGTAGCATGGGATATGTGGTCCTTAGAAATGTAAAAATAAACAGCAGAGGAGAAGGGAAAAGCAGGCAGGGAATCCAAGAAGCTGTGGAAAGAGATGTCCAGCAGACAGGAAGCACTTACAACATGAAAGGAAAATTTTAAAGTTAATTTATACTGGACTTTAACTAGTTGCCGACCGCAGATAGCCGAATGACGGCTGCACTGCGGCCGGCCAGTTCTGGGTGGACGTCATATGACGTCCTCCCAGAACGCGCTCTCCTGCGCGCCCCAGGGGGCGCGCACCCGGCGATCTCCGTGATCGCTGTGTCCCACGGACACAGCTGATCACGTGATGTGGTAAAAGGCCAATCACAGCGGCCTTTTACCACGTGATCAGCGGTGTCCAATGACGCTGATCAGAGGGAAATGCAAGTGCCGGTTCTGGGCTGCACTTTCCTCACGCTGTCAGATCGTGAGGAAAGTACTGCCGAGAACCGGCAGTTGTCAGAGCGGGGATCGGCACCGATCATCAGGGCACTGATGATCGGTGCCCAGCAGTGCCACCCACAAGTTCCGCCCACCTGTGCCCAGCAGTGCGCCCACTAGCTCCGCCCACCTGTGCCCAGCAGTGCACCCACCTGTGCCACTCTGCAGTGTCACACACCTGTGCCCAGAAGTGCCACCTACCTGTGCCCAGCAGTGCCACCCACCTGTGCCCACCCACCTGTGCCCAGCAGTGCCACCCACCTGTGCCCACCAGTGCCACCCACCTGTGCCCACCCACCAGTGCTGCCCACCAGTGCCACCCACCAGTGCAGCCCAGCAGTGCTGCCAGTCAGTGCCACCAGTCAGTGCCCAGCGGTTGTGCCAGTCAGTGCCGCCAGTCATTGCCCAGCAGTGATGCCAGTCAGTGCCGTCTATCAGTACCCATCATCAGTGTCACCTATCAGTGCCGCCTATCAGTGCTGCATATTAGTGCCGCCTATCCGTGACACCTCATTAGTGCTGCCTATCAGTGCCGCCTATCCGTGCCACCTCATTAGTACTGCCTATCAGTGCCCTTTAGTGCTGCCTATCAGTGCCGCCTATCAGTGCCCATCAGTGCTGCCTCATCCACGCACATCAATGAAGGAGAAAAAATTACCTGTTTGAAAAATGTTATAATAGAAAACAAAGAAACTTTTTTTTTTTTCAAATTTTTTGCACTTTTTTTATTTATAGCGCAAAAAGTAAAGCGCCCAGTGGCGATTAAATACCACCAAAAGAAAGCTCTATTTGTGAGAAAAAAATTTATCAAAATTTCATATGGGTACAATGTTGCATGACCGCGCAATCAAAGTGCGGCAGCGCTGAAAGCTGAAAATTGGCCTGGTAAATAAGGGGGTATAAGTGCCTGGTAGGCAAGTGGTTAAAGTATAACTATTGTTTGAAGTGCTATTTCAATGCTTATGTTATAATTAAAGTGTATAATGTGACCATAGATTTTCTTTAAGAAAATTGGACTGATTTACTGCAACAATTGCAAATCTTCACATAAATGGTGTGAATATTTACTTCAGTTATCCAATCATGTGCAGATGAAATGAGAATTGGACAATCAAAGTGAATATTCACACAATGTATTGTATGAAGGCTCTCAACTCCTTCCGTAAATCCTTCTTGAAATGTATAAGTCCCTTTTATATCCTTCCCCACGGTCTGAAATGTAAGACTATCAACTCTTTTGAACTTTGATAGTTATTTTGCAGTTGTTGCAGTGTGTTGTTTTAGCAGCCATTGTTTAGTATGTACTTCCACTGTATGTCTGTTCAAACCATCCAGAAAGTGTGTAAGTGATGGCAGCAATGCATTATGAATAAAGATTATGGGTAATTACACTCAGTAAAAAGGTTGTAAGAAAATTCAGAATAATTGTTAAGTAAATAAATAGGTGGATTGAATAAGAGCTTCTGTATCTGTAGAGGTCAGGCAGGAACATATTATTGAACTGAGAAAAACCTAGAAACATATGGCATCAAAGTACATGTTGTAGATGACAGCTGAGATGCTTTTTAAAACCCATAGAAAAAGTTGCAGAGTTGTCATAGCAACTTTTGTCATACGTTTATTTTTGTTTTAACAATAGCCCCGGAAGATGTCATATATGACAAAACATGTAGGACGGAGCGTGCTGTTGACGTCATCACATAACCAGAAGTTTACCTCTTATCTACAGAGGTGCTGAGAGGAGGGGTTTTAGGAGGCAGAGTCAATACAGTGTATCCAAAAAAATTTGGGCCTGGAAAGCACTGTAATGTATGAATCACATTACATTACAGTATCAAGTCAGCATGTAAGAAGACGAGAACAAGGTCATTACTAAGGGTAACCAAGTGCATATGCATGACACAAAGCAACCAATCGAGGTGTGGTATCTGGGTGAGGTATCCTCCCTCCCCCCTTTGGCTTCATCGCTAGTGGTCTGTCTAGCAACCGGGAGCACACCAGGTTTACAAGGGCACTCAGCCTAACCACACGGTATGGGAGCAAAGGAGTTAACACATGAGATTCACACTATGGGGTTTATTTACTAAAGCTGGAGAGTCCAAAATCAGACTCCCTTCTGCATAGAAACCAATCAGCTTCCAGGTTTCATTGCCAAAGCTTCATTGAAGAAGCTGAGGTTAGAAGCTGATTGGTTTCTATGCAGAAGGGAGTCTGATTTTGGACTCTCCAGCTTTAGTAAATAAACCCCTATGTGCCTGGTGGGATCTTACTCTGTTACTGGAAGTGAGGTAACAGAGGTACTCTGGCTGGTGGAGGCAGCTCAGATCTTCCCACCACTCTTAATGTAATAAGTAGAAGTCACTGTGTATAGAGCAATGGGACACCACCAAACAAACACCTCTGCTTTATTACTATGCACTATGAAAGTTCACCTCTGGGTTGGGAGACTGCCTTACCGTTTGACTGTACACATGAATGCAGATCTCGCCTAGTCCCAGGCATTGATGAGCTTGCCCACGGGCACCCTACCCCTATTGCATGGGGCGCAATAGCCCATACCCACAACTACTAAGTAACTTATTTATGTACCTAAACTTTAGTTTAGTATAACAGTTTGTCTAAATAGGACTGCTTTTTGTTAAATAATTTGCATGCACCTTTAACTACTTTAAAAAAGCTGCCAAACAGTTTCTAATATAAAAGGTTGAAAGATATTGAATCTGTTACAGGTCTAGTCAATTGCTGGTGTTTGTTTTAAAATAGGTGAGCTTTTACTTAAGAGATAAAAGGCAGACTGAGTGCCATAAGACACAAAGAATGATTAATCCAATATATCAGGAATATTTACCCTATTAGTGCTTTGAATCATACCATACGGCTCTTGTTTCTTATATTATTATTACAACTGCATCATGAAAGACCAACATATGGTTTTGAAGTGTCTGCTGCAGACATAAGCACAAAAAAAAAAAAATCATATGAAAAAAATTATACCATGATGAAGGGTAAAACAATTCTTAATGTCTGAATATAGTTTTGCAATATTGACACGGTATTAAAACTGTAAATGTCATTGCAAATACTTAGTGTATCCAGGTGAATTATACCTAGTTTTTTTTGTTTTTTCTTTAAGGGCAAACTGATGTTTCATTTGATGGTCCTATTATCAAAGAAAAATTGGCACACAATAATATAAAAAATGTTTTTTAAAAGTAGCTGTATATTTCTTGGTAATATCATAACTTGCCACCAAAAAAAACAACCCGCAATACATTCTCCTGCACCTGATGATTGACAGCATACCACATATGTGTATGTTATTTGTTGTTTGTATGCGTAGTAGGCCCGAGAAACAATAGTGCGCATTTTGATTTTTCTTATCCTACCTAAATACACACTGACGCAAGCTGACACGGAATTACATTTTTTTTTTGCAATTCTACCTAAAATACATTGACCATTTGGAACTTGGGCTTTGAATCTGACCCAAACACTGATAAATGCAATGTACTTCAGCTCAATTATATAAATGATCCTTCCTCCAATATAAATGGTAGTGCTGATGCTAAATGTGATCCCACATATATAAATAAACTTTAACAAACAGTGCCGCGCAATACTCCTGTGCTACAGATAGTGCTACAGACTTATATAGTGCATAACATATGTACAATCCTCCTAATAAAGTGCATGTGCAAATATCACATATGCGATATAATCAGCTTATAGCATTTAACTACCACATATTTCCTTATAAAGTGCATATAACAACCACTGTGCAAATATCACATATACAGTGTAATCATCTTGCAAAATATGACTCCCACATGATTATTCAAATCCTTATAAATTGTGCAAAATTCTCTTTAAAAAGTCAATATATTCTCATAAGTATTCATGCAGCTTCCTGCCGTGTTGAAAATCACCCATGTGTATTCCTCCTCTACCAGCACACATATATACTTTTGCCTTCTGAATTTGACCTATGAGTATTTAGGTCAGACAGCGCTTTTCCCTTATAACCCGGGTAGCTATGTTTTTCTTTTTAAATCCAACTTCCAATCTTCTCCACACTCTAATCTAGGTTGGTCTTCCTATTCCTTACACAGCATATCCTTCAAAAATCCAGAAAAAATGCACATCATAGTGTATCTCTTGTATCCACCAACATTTATTAAAAAGTAAGTTGCACTCACATAAAAAGTGCAGTTAAACGGCCTGTATTCACATTCCAAATTCCTAAAGGACTCACAAGATGGCGGCTCGCAAACTTCCAGTTGTGCGGGTTGGCATCATCGGCCCACCCTAAGCGTTACTTCATCAGGGGATAGCCATTGGACATTCTGTTTCATTTATAGTCATCTCCATAGTTGTTGTCATGGTAACCACCCACAATAGTCTGACGAGCGCCATTTTCTTATAGCCCAACAGCCATGATTCAAGAGGTTTTTTTCTAGTGTTTGCTAGCTCATCTTGTGAGGAATATTAATACATAATAATATACTCTGCTGGTCACTCTACCCCAGTTAGGAAATCTAATACAAATAGGAATGCGACTAACCCCACCTCTTACTGCTAATACATAGTACATAATAAAATAATTAAATAAAATAATAATTAAAACTACTCATTATGACCAATGAACCAATATACATGATAATCCATCTATACAACTGGGACCATACATATGGACCCCACATATAATAATACTCCAATGCCATAACAATAGAAAATACATGCTATAGATTATAAAAGAGATGTTCCTACAATCAGATCCACCTGACCTATAATTCTTCAGTATAGGTCCAAAATCATTTACCACCATAAAGTGTCTGATAGTGCGAAAATAATATACATCATTATGTTAAAAATCTTCTATGAATCAGTTGATGTCAAAATCTACTTTTAACCCTTGTGGTACCAATGATTGCAAATAAAAAATCAATTTGGACTCTTTCTGACCGAGGGTCCATCTTATTACTACCTCTCCAATGTTGCTTATATTTTTCTAGTCCCCAAAATTTAAGTCCTGATGGGTTCTTATTATGATGTAGTGCAAAATGTTTAGAAAGATTATGTTTCCCACAACCTTTCACAATGTTACTTATATGTTCTTGTATCCTTTTAGCCAACTTTCTTTTTGTTCTGCCCACATATTGCAAACAGCATTCACATTTCATGCAGTATACTACTCCTTCCATTGTACATGTAATACAGTCTCGAATATCATACTGTTGCCCTGTACTTGCTATAAATGTTTTACTTCTTTTTGGATTGTTTTTGGTACTACGACATCCACAACACCTTCCACAAGCAAAAAAAAAACCTTTTTCACTGAAGAAAGATAATTCCTTCTTTTTAGGTGGATCCACCACATTTTTCAACAGTCTATTCCTTAAATTAGGTGCTCTTCTATAAATACATTTTTGTTTCA